CCAAGATCATGATTGGAGCCAATGGCCTCGTCGTCGAACTGGATCCCGGAAAGTTGGTGCAACTCCAACGACAGGATCCGGTGTTACAGAAAGTTGCAGCCGCCTTGTTGGATGGAAGGAACACTGAGAACGGAGAAGGGGACAAGGAATTAGAAGCGTTCCAGAGTCACTTTGATCGGCCGAGGCTGAATGAAGCTGGCGTAATTTCCTGGAACGCCACTGATTCAGATGTGGTGCTGCCCGTGATACCTTGCGTCTTGAGACGGAAGCCATGAGATGGCACATACGCACCACACCAAGACATACGACCTACTTCGGCAGAGGGCCTATTGGCCCGGGATGAGAAGTGAGGTGATAGATTATGTGGTGTCCTCGTTGTCAACTCAACTAATGAAAGCGGATACGACAGGGGCAACCCATCCCATGAAACCGATTCCGGTCTCAGAAATCGGCGAGTTGTGGTCAGTTGACGTCATGGGCCCCTTTCCGGTGACAACCAGTGGGAACCAATACATCGTGATGATGACAGAACACCTGTCGCGATGGATTGAGGCGGCAGCCGTGCCGAATCAGCGGGCGACGACGATCAGCGGAGTATGCATGCATCACATTGTGGCCAACCATGGGGTGCCAAAAATGATCCTAACCGATCAGGGGCCTTGCTTCGAGAGCGAAGAGTTTATTGCTTGCAGTGTTGTATGTGTCCACTCCTGGGAGCAGCTCAGGGGCCCTGCTTCGAGAACGAAGAGTTTCGTAATTGCTTGCAGAAGCTGGGTATCAGACGGCTAAGGACGGCACCATACCACCCGCAAACAAATGGCCTGACCGAACGTAACAACAAAACGATCAAGGAGTGGCTTCGGCCAAAAAAGGTGACTGTGAAATGAACTTGCCAATGGTGTTGTTAGCTCATCGTGCTTCCACGCAGTCAATCACAGACAAGTCCATGTTTATGTTCACGTACGGGCGACATCCGCGCCTTCCGGCTGATCAGGAAATTGGGTTGTGGCCGGCAACGCGCTCGTCTCCGGAGGAGCTAGAGGAAGAAAGAAGGAGAGCTCGAGAAAATTTGACCGCCGTTCACGAAAGGACTAGGCAGAAAACGGCAAGCGGAACGGTCCGAACGTTCCCCATAGGCACGAAGGTCAAGTGGAAGGATCACCAGAATCCTGGAAGGAGTAGACTGGGGTCGCGGAAGCTGGGCAGTAGGTGGCAAGGGCCTTTTGTCGTCACCGACCGCCGGGGGAACGTCTATACCATTCAAGATGTTCAAGGATCGAAAGTAGTGAATGGGACACAGCTTCGCAAGTGGCATGATACACCCGAATAGCGGCCGCGTAGACCCGCTGCCGGAGGTAAATGAGAATAGATGGCATGCGAGCAGGCTTTACGGGGTAGAGGTGTGTAAGTGTGATGCTACTGATCGGGTGGCACGCGAGTAGTATGTGTTGCTCGTAGAATTTCGCTTTGCGTCGAATGGAAAATGAAATTCTGTTGCGGAATTCGCGGGGCCACTTTGTAACATTTGCTTTTATTTGACCAACGAATGATTGGAAGCAATGAATCTTCAGGAAGACTCGTTCGGGAGAAGATCTGTGTCCAGGTTTTGTAACCAAGATGCAGATTAGAGTTTTGTTCCTCCGTTCAATGGTCTGTAACCCGTCAGTTGGCATTTCCGATTGAACAACTCCTCAGCGAAGGCCTTCTTACCCTCATTGGTAGCATGCATGAGGGATGAAAATTTCGTTTGACGGTTGTTATGTCCTGCAGGGAGAGTCATCCTGTTGTGTTCCACAATAGTGTATTCGTAAAAACATCACCCCTGTGGTGGCACGGCCGCTTCGCCCATCGGCGTTGTTTCTGAGCATCGCCTTCTATTCAGGAACCCAATGAAACTGCACGGTTGTTTTTCGTTTGTTGCGGCTAGGCTGGACTCGTCCAGGTGGTCATCTAACTGGCAAAACCATAGGCTACAGACGATGAAAAATGGGTGGAAAAAGGAAGAAAAACTGACTCCGCGTTGTTTGAAGATCTGTGTCCAGGTTTTATAACTAAGATGCAGATTAGAGTTTTGTTCTCCTGTTCAATGGTCTGTAACCGGTCAGTTGGCATTTCCGATTAAACAACTCCTCAGCGAAGGCCTTCTTCCCCTCATTGGTAGCATGCATGAGGGATGAAAATTTCGTTTGACGGTTGTTATGTCCTGCAGGGAGAGTCATCCTGTTGTGTTGCACAATAGTGTATTCGTATAAACATCACCCCTGTGGCGGTACGGTCGCTTCGCCTATCGGCGTTGTTTCTGAGCATCGCCTTCTATTCAGGAACCCAATGAAACTGCACGGTTGTTTTTCGTTTGTTGCGGCTAGGCTGGACTCGTCCAGGTGGTCATCTAACTGGCAAAACCATAGGCTACAGACGATGAAAAATGGGTGGAAAAAGGAAGAAAAACTGACTCCGCGTTGTTTAAAAAAGAAATTCGTAAAAATTACAGAGGGACTGCCCTGAAAGCCCTATGATGCCCATGGCGTGCATCAACGTACGGAGCTGTAGCTGCCCTTGTCGTAATTGGGGTTGTACTGCCCCAAAGCCCTCTTATTCAACTAAGCAAGAAAAGGCACATACCTACTGCTATGATGAGTGAACATGTACAATGATAAATATAGGTATACAGAGGCTACCAACTTGCAAGGCTAGTGCCCAAAGGCCTTTTGTTTGTCATGCACTTGTTAACCTGAAGCTGATAGCAGTACCCCAGGGGCTGTTGAGTATTTCTCTCACGCCCAGTTTCTCTCCTGGTACTGTACAACGCACATAGTATATACCGGATTAACTAGTCCATCATCCTGGGTTCTAAATTTCGTCATTCCTTATATGATTGATTTCCCTAACTACACCGCCAGTCTTGGTGTTTATAAATCGGTTCCCACCAGATCTCTTGTACTTTAATATCATATGTTAGCAACCCCAAACCTTGCGCTGTCCCTGGTTTACCAAGTACAATCCACCTCTATACTCTTCCCTATAATCACTAGTTTTCACCATCCTTATCGTGGTAGACCTTAAGTATTTCTATCTATGTATATCAATACATATTGTCCCATCTGATGCCTCCTCAAACTTGCCATGCCTTACCGAACCTGCCCTATTCCCTCATATTTCCAAGCTTTGAAATTATACATTATCAGACATGGACGACCGGGCCGGCTGTCATCCACTCCAACTGGCCTATGATTTACGTACTTGGGATCCCCAAACGGACCAAAAACCTGCGATCTCATATCGGCTTCGTTCTACTTTTCTTTCCTCGGCCAACCCGAAAAAATTCCGCTGCTCAAAGTATTGAACATTCCAGGCCACCAACTTTAAATTTGACGTCAAATAAGGGGCTGTCCAACAACCGAATTATATCAAGTAAATGTTGTCGCCGCTCTGCCATACCGGTTCGATAGAGTATTCGCAACTATTCCATTCCTACTCACGACGGTACCCACTCGCCCGCTCGTTCCATTAACTGTAAGTAGGAACAAGCTCCCCACCTGCGCCACATGGCCCCAGCTGCGAGTCTACCGAAACTTTCGTTCGAATTTAGCCATTTCTGTGTGTCTGTGATTCCCAAGAAATAAATAACTTTCTAGACAGTTCGCTTCAGATTCGTGTGTCACCATTTAACCCTTCCAAGGAAATATTATGCTTGACTCCACAACAGTGACACCAGCGAGTCCCTCCAGTTTCACTGTACACCATGAATCTGAGATTCCCGTTGCCATTTCTCCGCTTTGCTAATCCCTCGACTTCATCATCCCCACTTACACTTCTTGGGACCCTAGCCACGATCCCGACGGTCCAAAACCATGAGGCCTCAAGGGTATTTTTGGGCTTTGGTTTAATATGATCGGCTTCATTACGTCAAATCTGTTGCTTCACCAGATCTGATGTTCTGGTACTTCATTGTTCCCCGTTACACATTTCTTGTCATGTGTCAGGCGGGAAACCACTCATTTTGCCCTCCATCGCATTGTTCCTTGCCTGCTACCTTCAAATCATAACGATCCGATGTTTCTCATAACTTGCAAGTAACTGTACCTCCTGCCTGTGACGGCCAAGTGGTAACCGCGCCAAAATCGTACAATCCCCACCCCCATTGACGTTATCGCTGTTCCGACCGCCCTGTATCCACGACCTCCGCCCGTCATGCTTTTATACTGACTGCAACATTATGATCGTGCTTAGTGGCATGCCACAAAAATGTTTGCACCAGAGGTCATTATTATTATTGTTAGTATCAAACATGAAAGTAAACTTGCCTTCTGTAAGATCCGGACGGTTAAGGAACTCACAGGACGATTGCGACTATTAGATTTTACGCAGTTCGTAGCCAGTAGTCAATAGGTGCAGACAGACGTGGGGCAGCAGATGATATAATAATAATAATAATGTTTATTCCCAACTTGTGGGTGGCATGCCGTCTGGCATGATCATGCGTTTGCAGTCAGAATGGGGCACTACTGAGGGATTTGCGGGAAGTGTTGACTGCGCGAAAAGGGGACAACGTCACAAACAGTGGGAGGTACTTGATTAAACAATAACAATAATAATATGTTTCACTTGCAACCTGTAGTGAACAATAGGCATGAGGTCC